GAAGACCAATTACTCATGCTAAAAAAGACTAAATAAGACAACGGATGAATGGTATTATTTGGTTAATAAACCAAAATCTAGTGATGCTGGTGAAATTGATCACACAAGCAAAATCTCAAGACTGAATTTTCAGTTCTCAATACCTCAGAGATAAATTTTCTCACACTTATGCACCAATGAGTGAACAATATAAGAAGAAAAAAAATACAGTACTTATTCAAGAAGGAAGGACTTCGTTGAACAATTACTTGTAATAAGAACCTGAGTGAGTGATAGCCGCTCAGTTGTGTTGGACTCTTTGCAACCCCATGAACTGTAGCCTGTCAGGCTCCTCCATCCATGGAATTCTCCAGGCAAGAATACTGGAGTGCATTGCCATTTCCTTCTCCATGGTATCTTCCCAACCCAGGGATTGAACCCAGGTCTCCCACATTGCAGGCAGTTTCTTTACCATCTGAGTTACCAGGGAAGCTCTGTTGTACAAAAAGAATGTGTAACCACAGTATACTTTCATCTTTTATAATGTTTATGTGCCAATAATTACTTTATATTGTAGCTTCAAAGTGGACAATACTGACATTAGGTGAATATATAAAGGTGATTGAAAGAAAAGAGATGTGTAGAAATGACAACTTATTGGAATAGAGAAAATTAAAGAACCAATTGTACTCAAATGATAAATGATGATAACTGTTTTTCCTGGTATACTGAGCATATGTGACAGGAAAAACAGGATACTACTCATAATATTTAGAAATAAAATATCTAGGAATAAAATAATGAGAAATGTATATTGGGTGAAGAATGATAAAATTTTACTTAGTGATATAACAGAAGATATAAATAAATAATGTTCAATACTGTAAAAAATGTCAACTCTCTCCAATTGCTTCCTAAATATATTAAAATAACTAAGAATGTTATATATGACTCAACATGATGATTCTAAAATTTATATGAAAGAATAAATTTCTTTATCTGTACCCATAGCTTGTATGATTTTATGATTCATGCCAATGATCAGAATATATATCTTTTAAATTATTTTAATATTTAAAAATTTTATTTTATTTTTTATTTATTTTTTGCTGCATTGCACAGCTTGTACACTTTTAGTTTCCCAACCAGGGATGGACCCTGGGCCCACATCAGTGAAAACACCAGGTCCCAACCACTGTACCACCAGGAAACTTTCTAGTTTTTATTTCTTTTTAAATTATATTTTATAAAAGTTATATATATTAAGATATATTTGGGCTTCCCAGGTGGCACTAGTGGTAAAGAAGCCAACAGCCAATGAAGAAGATGTAAGAGACACTGGTTCAATCCCTAGGTTGGGAACATCCTCTGGAGAAGGAAATGGCCACCTACTCCAGTATTCTTGCCTGGAGAATCCTATGGACAGAGGAGCCTGGTGGGCTACAGTCCATGGGGTCACAAAGAGTTGAACAGGACTAAAGAAAATTCTGAAAGAGATGGAAACACCAGACCACCTGACCTGCTTCCTGAGAAATCTGGATGCAGGTCAAGAAGCAACAGTTAGAACTGGACATGGAACAACAGACAGGTACAAATCTGGAAAGGAGTACTTCAAGGCTATATATGGGTCATGCTGCTTACTTAACTTATATGCAGAGTACATTGTGAGAAACGCTGGGCTGGATGAAGCACAAGCTGGAATAAAGATTGCCAGGAGAAATATCAATAACCTCAGATATGCAGATATCACCACCCTCATGGCTGCTGCTGCTGCTAGGTCGCTTCAGTCGTGTCCGACTCCGTGAGACCCCATATATGGCAGCCCACCAGGCTCCCCCATCCCTGGGATTCTACAGGCAAGAACACTGGGGTGGGCTGCCATTTCCTTCTCCAATGCATGAAAGTGAAAAGTGAAAGTGAAGCCGCTCAGTCAGGTCCAACTCTTCGCGATCCCATGGACTGCAGGCTACCAGGCTCCTCCGTCCATGGGATTTTCCAGGCAAGAGTACTGGAGTGGATTGCCATTGCCTTCTCTGCCACCCTTATGGCAGAAAGGGAGAACTAAAGAGCCTCTTGATAAAAGTGAAAGAGGAGACTTAAAAATTTGGCTTAAAACTCAACATACAGAACACTAACATCATGGCATCTGGTCCCATCACTTCATGGCAAATAGATGGGGAAACAATGGAAACAGTGAGACTTTATTTTGGGGGGCTCCAAAATCACTGCAGATGGTGACTGCAGCCATGAAATTAAAAGACGCTTGCTCTTTGGAAGGAAAGTTATGACCAACCTAGACAGCATATTAAAAAGCAGAGACATTACTTTGCCAACAAAGGTCTAACTAGTCAAAGCTATGGTTTTTCCAGTAGTCATGTATGGATGTGAGAGTTGGACTATAAAGAAAACTGAGCACCGAAGAATTCATGCTTTTGAACTGTGATGTTGGAGAAGAGTCTTGAGAGTCCCTTGGACTGCAAGGAGATCCAACTAGTCCATCCTAAAGGAGATCAGTCCTGAATATTCATTGGAAGGACTGATGCTGAAGCTGAAACTCCAATACTTTGGCTACCTGATGCAAAGAACTGAGTCACTGGAAAAGCCCCTGATGCTGGGAAAGATTGAAGGCAGGAGGAGAAGGGGACGACAGAGGATGAGATGGCTGGATGGCATTACCGACTCAATGGACATGAGTTTGAGTAAGCTCCGGGAGTTGGAGGTGGACAGGGAGGCCTGGCGTGCTGCAGTCCATGGGGTCACAAAGAGTCGGACATGACTGAGAGACTGAACTGAACTGAAAGTGCCTTACACACAAACACACACACACATAGATAGATATAATTTTTAATAATAATAAACAGTACAGAGGGGCATAATGACAACCAGTAAATTCCTGCCCCACTGTTCTCAACGCTCAGCTTGCCAGTACAGAAATGAACCCCTCCCTGTGTCTGCTCTGATCAAGCTGTCTCCCTCAATTGTTCCAAATCGCGTCAAGTCTTCCGTTGCTGCACATTGCAAGCGTGCTTTCTTGTACAGTTTGAAACATTTCCTTTTCCTAAAGTTTCCACTGCAAGAGGGGTGAAGAAATGAGGCCTTCCAGGGTTTCCTTAGCTCCTCATCAATCCATATATTACTGAAAACTCATTTCACTTCATTTGTGGTCTACTTGCTCTTCTAATTTGGAGGACTGGCCTCCCCTTCGGCTCATTCCTGTACAATTTATCATTCCATGAAGTTTTAGACACATTTCCCATTTTTAAACAATGCACCGTGTACTCCTCCTTTTGTAAAGTTTGTGCCACTTTTTGTTTTATAGATAAAACAGCTTCTCAGATACTTCTGAGGATTTCAAGATTTTAATATTTTTAGTCCTTTGCTATTCCTTCAACTATCTATTTCCTCATAAGTTAATGTTTTATTTTACTTTTTTGGTCATGCTGCAGGCTTTCGACAAATGGTGCTTTTCAGCCAGACAAGTTTGCAGGCAGGATGGGTGAGCCAATGGATGAGAATCAGCCCTTCTGTCAGGCCCCCGGCTGACACAAAGCTAGCAGCAGCTCCCAGGCAGGTGCTAAGCTTCAGAGCAGGGCAAGGTCACGGTCAGCTCCCGGGCTGAGGGGAAGAAGACAGGCAACATGTGCTTGAACCTCCTGCAGGAGAGCAGCTCCCTGATAAAGCTGCTGATCTAAGGTAACTGTTAACATCCTGTGTATCTTCTTCACACCAAGAATTGATAAAATATTTCTTATTCATTTATTTCTTTATTTTGTTATGGTCTGACTATACTACTATGTTATTAATAAACAGATGCATATGATATCTAAATGATATAGGACACATTCTAACTAGAGGATTAAAATTCTAACTCTAATTGATAAAGACTTGGCTTATACTCTTTATAAGCATATGTGATAACCTTACAACTAGGGACATTATTCAAATGATAATTCTACCTTTGACATATATAATTAATATAATATTTAATTAACATTATTACATATATTATCATATTATATAATTAATTTTGACTTGAAAAATCCTAATTTTGCTTTGCTTTTGCTCTCCTACACACACACACACAGAAGCAAGATGCCATAGTGAATCATAATTACATGATTCCGAGGGTAAAAGCTTCTAGTTCATGACTATTACACAAGTGCTATGTTATTGTCGTTGTTCAGTCGCTAAGTCATGTCTGACTCTTTAACCCCATGAACTATAGCATGCCAGGCTTCTCTGTCCTTCACTATCTCCCTGAGTTTGCTCAAATTCATGTTCATTGAGTCAGTGATACCATCCAACCACCTCATTCTTAATCGTCCCCTTCCCCTCCTGCCCTGATCTTTCCCAACATCAGGGTCTTTTCCAATGAGTCAGCTCTTCACATCAGGTAGCCAAAGTATTGGGGCTTCAGCTTCAACATCAGTCTTTCCAATGAATATTCAGGGTTGATTTCCTTTAGGATTGACCTCTAGTGCTATATGGAGAAGGAAATGGCAAAGTACTCCAGCATTCTTGCCTGGAGAATCCCATGGACAGAAGAGCCCTGGCAGGTTATAGTCCATGGGGTCACAGAATCAGACATGACTGATCTCTATCTTGAGATCCAAATCCCTATTTCTAACTAATTCCTGTATCTTCAAATGCAAGTTGAGCTCAGTAGCCTTCAGCCTCACCTCTCACGCCAGCTCTCCTCTCTTTCTATAAGCCAGAATGGCATGAGCATCTCCCCAGTCAGCCAGGCTAACAGCCCGCACCCCTTCCCAGTCAAGCCCTGCTGAGTTTATCTCCTTCATGCTTCCTGTCTTTCTGCACCCCTGTATCTCCTCTATGAGCCACTCAAAGGTATACAGCATCTGGTTCATTATTTGTAAGACAATAGAAGAAGCTTTCATTTGGTATATGACACTAATGTACACAAAAAAGACAAATTTTCTAAGTACCTAATCTATTGTGTCAAGCATTCAAACTCTGAAAAATTCTTTCCTACAAGTTAATAAAAAACATAAGAGACTTACTTAAATGGTGTAAACAAAAACGATAAAGTAGCTTCTTTTTTCTGAGTCATTTTTACCTGGGAACCAAGCGTGAAAATATTTTATATTAGAAAAGAGAAAAAAATGAACTAATTTCATTTTGAAATACAAATATCCATTAAAATGGTTCTTCGGTGATAAAAATAAATGGAATTTTGGGTTACTATCCTACTTCATAAATATTTAAAGAAAATGTTAATGATATATAGTACCATTACAATAAGCTGAGAATGAAGCATATCAAGCCTGAAAAAAAAAAATGTCATAGAATTAAGCTATACTTTTTAACTCTTAGGAAACAAAATAAGCTATGCTGCATTAACACTATTATGAATAACAAAGTTTCAGTTAAACGGTCATTTCTTTACGTTGTTAATGCAAATAATAACATACACAGAACGACATGAAATGCTGCAATCTCTATAACTACTTCTACAAGGCAAATTCTATCAACAGAGACTTGGTTTGCAGTCTTTATAAGCACATGTGGTCCTCTAACAGTTAGGGACACTCCTTAGCACTAATTTTACACCCTCAAACTGATTCATGAAAACTGTACCTCAGAAATGTGGAACTGCAGGACGCTAGTCAGGTACAGACAATTTAAGGATAATACATTATGAAAATCATTTCTTCAAATGCAAAATCAAGTATTTTCACAAAATATATTCAGTTTTAAAAGTGGAATCATGTCCATACTTGTGTGTGGTCTTGTTTTACCTTGAACTGTTCAAGAATCTGTACTGCATTTGTAAACATGCTCCCTGCTTTGAAGAGATCATAGGTATTAAGCATGTCCACAGGAATGATTCCCTGTAAATAACAAACACTGATTTAACATTAGTACTAACAAAGCTCAGGTTATTCTTATAAAACAAAACAGACTTAGAATGGAAGCAATAGAGATAAGACATGGACAAATAAATTCTTGGAATAATTAAAAAATCTTTTTTTAAATCGTAACTGAAAAATGTTCTACTACTTTTCTCACAAAATAGATATAATAAAATAAATAAAGCAAAAGAGATGAATTAAGTCCAATAAAACCTAACATTTATCAAAAGATTACTATACGGCAGGCAGTGAACTAAATGCTCTGCACACACACAAAGCTACTATGGTGGGCCACAGCCAGCACACTAAAAAAAAAAAAAAAAGAAAGACATAAGAAAAATAGGAGTATGCTATTAGGGTTTAGTTGCTAAATCGTGCCCAGCTCTTGTGACTCCGTGGACTGTAGCCCACCAGGCTGCTCTGTCTATGGGATTTTCCAGGCAATACTGGAGTGGTTTGCCATTTCCTTCTCCAGGGGATCTTCTCGACCCAGGGATCGAACCTAGGTTCTCCTGCACTGAAGGCACGTTCTTTACCAACTGAGCTACCAGGGAAGCTCCACACTATTATACTATACTTAAAAGTGAGGATGTTTTGTGAAACTTTTGTTTCAGTTATAGATATACACACACATTTATGACTACAGGGGTCACATGACTCGGGGTTCTGAGGCAGATGATATTATTTTTTTAAACTTTGATTTGAAGGGCTAGAAAGAATGGCTGATGGGAATGGATTCTGTTTGTCTTTTAGTTTTTCAGCATCCAGTTCCCATCTTAAAAACATTTCCACTGGAAGCTGAGATATTAGATGGAGCATAGTGAGTCTAATGAGGTCCCCTGACTTCCCATACTGAAGGGTAGACAAGTAATCCAGGCTGGACCACTCAAATGATAATAAACACTGGAATTTGAAGCTTCAGGGTCAAGGAACAGACAGTACAAGAGGCACAGTGCGAGTCGGTGACCCTGCAGACTGGCTCTGCCACGGAACCGCAGTGAGTTTCTTTGTCCTGAGTCTCTGGAGCACTGATTTAGCAAACCAGCAATATCTTTGTAATAAATTTTCTTTAAATGGATTCAGAAACACATAAAAAGTAAATTTTACTGTATGATAATTTTTCTTTTATTCTGAGAGTTGATAAGAAAATTGTACTCTTTACCACTGAATTAAGTGGGAAGGGAACTCCAATAAGAGCTGCCATCAACAGTGCAAATTCAGCCTGCAAACAGAAGAAGTTAAATCTAAGATGGTGACAGATCAACAAGGACATTAAGTAATTTAATTTGTATAACTGGATTTTGAAAGATAACCATGATATCCATTTTAATCCATTATCATCAAATACTTATTCCATACACAGCAGATCTATCTCTAAAAAAATGTCATTTGCTAGAGGTACATGAACTCAAGAAAACCTCAATTTGAAACCACTAGGAGCCCCCAAAGTAAAATATATAAAACAAAAAAGTTACTTATTCTACAGGCTAAGAGTTTGACCACATAATATAACAGTTTTTGGGTATTATGACAAGGATGCTTACTAGACAGAAAATAAACAGCAAAAGTAGACTTAACGAGATTTATATATATACACACATATATATTAATTAAAGAAAGAATACAGCAGAAGGAGGTTGGTTGGCCAGACAGTGAAATCTAGAAAAAGACATTAAGCAGGATAAGAGTCTCTTTAGAGTCCGCAAGCACGGCTTTGGAGAGCCCCCTCCAGGTCCAAGTGTTCAGAAGAGCGGTCCACGCTTCCGGTCTCCATGGCCTCACCTCCCCATCTGTCCTCAGGCTGCTCTAACTTGTTCTGACTCTTTATCATCCTCTAGGCTGTGCTCACTGCAGAACTAATAACCTCCATTTTCTACATCTAATTGATTGCTTTTGTATTAGTCTTGATAATGTTTCAGGCAGTCAAGTGCTTGGCTGTCAGAATGCCCAATTACAAACACTTTGCTTGTGATCTTTGAGACCTTGGGCAGGTTATTTCAACTCTCCAATGCTTCAGTTTTCCTTGTCAGTTAAAAAATAAATAAAAGTTTCTCCCTTACAGAATTACAACACGATCAAATGAGACAATTTATAACGTACTGGTGTGATCCATTTATGATTAAAACTCTCCAGAAAGCAGGAATAGAAGGAACTTACCTCAACATAATAAAAGCTATATATGACAAACCCACAGCAAGCATCACCCTCAATGGTGAAAAATTGAAAGCATTTCCCCTGAGATCAGGAACAAGACAAGGGTGCCCACTCTCACCACTACTATTCAACATAGTTTTGGAAGTTTTGGCCACAGCAATCAGAGCAGAAAAAGAAGTAAAAGGAATCCAGATAGGAAAATAAGAAGTGAAACTCTCGCTGTTTGCAGATGACATGATCCTCTACATAGAAAATCCTAAAGACTCTACCAGAAAATTACTAGAGATAATCAACGAATACAGTAAAGTTGCAGGATATAAAATTAACACACAGAAATCTCTTGCATTCCTATACACTAACAATGAGAAAACAGAAAGAGAAATTAAGGAAACAATACCATTCACCATTGCAACAAAAAGAATAAAATACTTAGGAGTATATCTACCTAAAGAAACAAAAGACCTATACATAGAAAACTATAAAACACTGATGAAAGAAATCAAAGAGGACACAAACAGATGGAGAAATATACCGTGTTCATGGATTGGAAGAATCAATATTGTCAAAATGGCTATACTACCCAAAGCAATCTATAGATTTAATGCAATCCCTATCAAACTACCAATGGTATTTTTCACAGAACTAGAACAAATAATTTCACAATTTGTATGGAAATACAAAAAACCTCAAATTGCCAAAGTAACCTTGAGAAAGAAGAATGGAACTGGAGGAATCAACCTGCCTGACTTCAGACTATACTACAAAGCCACAGTCATCAAGACAGTATGGTACTGGCACAAAGACAGAAATATAGATCAATGGAACAGAATAGAAAGCCCAGAGATAAATCCACGAACCTATGGTCACCTTATCTTCGACAAAGGAGGCAAGGATATACAATGGAAAAAAGACAACCTCTTTAACAAGTGGTGCTGGGAAAACTGGTCAACCACCTGTAAAAGAATGAAACTAGAACACTTTCTAACACCATACACAAAAATAAACTCAAAATGGATTAAAGATCTAAATGTAAGACCATAAACTATAAAACTCCTAGAGGAGAACATAGGCAAAACACTCTCCGACATACATCACAGCAGGATCCTCTATGACCCACATCCCAGAATTTTAGAAACAAAAGCAAAAATAAACAAATGGGACCTAATGAAACTTATAAGCTTTTGCACAACAAAGGAAACTATAAGCAAGGTGAAAAGACAGCCCTCAGATTGGGAGAAAATAATAGCAAACGAAGCAACAGACAAAGGATTAATCTCAAAAATATACAAGCAACTCCTCCAGCTCAACTCCAGAAAAATAAATGACCCAATCAAAAAATGGGCCAAAGAACTAAACAGACATTTCTCCAAGGAAGACATACAGATGGCTAACAAACACATGAAAAGATGCTCAACACCACTCATTATCAGAGAAATGCAAATCAAAACCACCATGAGGTACCATTACACACCAGTCAGGATGGCTGCTATCCAAAAGTCTACAAGCAATAAATGCTGGAGAGGGTGTGGAGAAAAGGGAACCCTCTTACACTGTTGGTGGGAATGCAAATTAGTACAGCCACTATGGAAAACAGTGTGGAGATTTCTTAAAAAGCTGGAAATAGAACTGCCATATGACCCAGCAATCCCACTTCTGGGCATACACACCGAGGAAACCAGATCTGAAAGAGACATGTGCACCCCAATGTTCATCGCAGCACTGTTTATAATAGCCAGGACATGGAAGCAACCTAGATGCCCATCAGCAGATGACTGGATGAGGAAGCTGTGGTACATATACACCATGGAATATTACTCAGCCATTAAAAAGAATTCATTTGAATCAGTTCTAATGAAATGGATGAAACTGGAGCCCATTATACAGAGTGAAGTAAGCCAGAAAGATAAAGGCCATTACAGTATACTAACACATATATATGGAATTTAGAAAGATGGTAACGATAACCCTATATGCAAAACAGAAAAAGAGACTTAGATGTATAGAACAGACTTGTGGACTCTGTGGGAGAAGGCAAGGGTGGGATGTTTCAAGAGAACAGCATCGAAACATGTATATTATCTAGGGTGAAACAGATCACCAGCCCAGGTTGGATGCATGAGACAAGTGCTCGGGCCTGGTGCACTGGGAAGACCCAGAGGGATAGGGTGGAGAGGGAGGTGGGAGGGGGGACTGGGATGGGGAATACATGTAAATCCATGGCTAACTCATTTCAATGTATGACAAAAACCACTGCAATGTTGTAAAGTAATTAGCCTCCAACTAATAAAAATAAATGGGAAAAAATTATTATAAAAAAATTAATAATAATAATAATAATGTAGTGGTGTGTAATAATCGTGCACTAACCAGCTGCTGCAGATGCTGCTGTGATTATAATGATGTGACCACTCGGCACTGTGCAGACCACTCCCTCTGGGTCTCTCTAACCCCACCGTTAGAGTGTCTCCAATCTTTACTTTCTCAGTTCAGCTCATTCAGTCACTCAGTCGTGTCTGACTCTTTGCGACCCCATGGACTGCAGCATGCTAGGCCTTCCTGTCCATCACCAACTTCCGGGGTTTACTCAAACTCATGTCCATCAAGCCGGTGATGCCAACCAACCACCTCATCCTCTGTTGTCCCCTTCCCCTGCCCTCAATCTTTCCCAGCATCAGGGTCTTTTCCAATGAGTCAGCTCTTCTCATCAGGTGGCCAAAGTACTGGAGCTTCAGCTTCAGCATCAGTCCTTCCAGTGAACATTCAGAGCTGATTTCTCAAGCCCTCATTTAAAGTTGGAGTTTTGTCCCAGGCTCTCACTTTCTCACTTTCACTATCTACGCCCTCTTTACCAAGCCCCATCTCACAGAAAACTGACAACACCCCTGGCCGCCTGAGTGCATCCTCTCCTTCCCCAGCCTCCACTGCTGGCCTCTGAGCTATTCTCCAACATAGAGAAGATCCTGCCGTAAAACCTCAGATCGCATCACCCCCCAGGCTTCAAACACCAGGAGGGCTTCCCCAAACCTGAGGATGAGCCCCACCGGCCCACGCAGCCCTGCGCGTCCAGTGTCTGCCTCCCACTAAACCACGCTGTCCGCGCTCTGTTCAGCCGCCTGCTTCAGGATCCTCTGAAATGCCATGTACCCCCTCCCAGACCTCTGGGCACAGGCTGCTCCTCGGCCTGAGACGCTCCCCGCCTCCTGCCCTGGCCTGGCAACTTCTACTCAGGCTTCAGTCTCGGCTCAAGCCTCAGTTTCTCAGGAAGCCTTTGCTGACCACGCAGCCCGCCAGCTAGATCTGCTCTACGCCCTCATGGCTTCCCAGGTCTCTTCCGCTGTACTTATCGCTGCTATAATTTTACATTTATTTGTATGATAAGTAGAGATAAATGTAACATTTATCTTATTCCTAAACTATAAGCTTCCTAGGGGAAGGACTGTGCCTCCTTTTTATTCACCATTACTGCTGTCACACGAAGTTTAATGTTAATATTCCAGTGTTGAATGTTAGTGTTGATGTCTGCACTGTGCTTAAACATACCGCAGACACACAACAACGCTGGCAGAAGGAATGAGTACAGAGCTCTCATCTAATGTAGATCTGAAGCAGTATTCAGAGAGTAATAGCGTTCAGTTTTTGATTATGATCCAGTCTGGCTATAAATAATATATGCTCTTATTGTATGAACTTCAAGATAGTCCCATCCCCCTGACAGTGATTTTTATTGCAAATTAATCTGATTCTATACATTTTCATTTGCTTGGGTAATAAGCATTCATCTGGAGAGATGAGACCATTCTTAATATGCTGAGAAAGAAAAGGCTTCTGTACGCACACAGCTGAAAATGAGACCCCAGAGCTTGGTTTATCCTCCACAGTAAGGAAAGCCAGCTTCTGAGGTGAACATGTGAGGCGACCTGGAGGGGGCATAAGATATTCCTGCCATTCTGGAGGACACACACCAATGATACCATGCCTTTCACTTGAAGACAGCTGTCTACACAGCATATCCTCAACAAGAAAATTCTGTGCTTCCTATTTACAGGTGATGCTACTCGTCTAACTGTATTAGATTGGCCAGGCATTTTCCTGTAATGTAAGCTTTCCTACAATGTAAGGATTCCTATAATGTAAGGTTTCTAATCTATATACTCTTGTCACTTTTTTCCCACTGCATTTGTAAAAATTTGGGGGTAGAATTAAAGATAAAACTTGTGTTAATAAAGAAGAGACAGTAACTGACACACTAACAGGAAGGAAACCCACAGTGGGGTTTTATTAGATCTGTGCTGAAAGCAACTGAGCAAACCATGACAAAAGCAACCATGGCAAAAAAGTCACACAAAAGTAACAGGCATGCACATTTCAATTTGCATAATAATTCTGTAATTAGCCAGTGTTATTTGGAGGAAGTCTTCTTTCAGTTTTATCTGAGGCTACTTTATTTTGCCCAAAGAAAGATTACTCGGGGTGAAAATATTCACACTAGCAGGATTTCTCTTAGTAACTGAAATGCTTTAGAAAAATCTTTTATCATCTTTAATACAATTTTCTTTCCCAGATTTTTTTATTCTAAACTTCTTATAGGAGAGAAAATTAAATTTGAACATGATTAAATATAATGAATGCCTGATTAATATCTTGTCTCTTCCAGTTCTCCAACTTCCACTCTGAAAGATACAAATAAACATAAGTGCTGATGTTAAGAATTAAAAAAAAAAAGAAGCTATTTTATTATTACAGGTGGTCAATGGAAAAAGAAAGTATTGGGACAGTCAATTTTAAGCCAAGTATGAACCATGAGGGTGCTAAAAAGGCAGAGTGGCAAACTTTTTTAAACTAGAGTTTTAAAAGAGTAACTCAATAATATATATTTGATATTTTCTGTAATAGTTTATTAAACTTCCAAAATGCTCATTAGGGGATAATTGTTTCAAAACATCAAAAGGCTAAGGAAGGAAAGATGGAAGCAAAAGGCACAATGATAACAAGTGCCACATGACTGCAGTGACAGTCCCGCTCCAGGGAGTTTACTAAGGCAGCCGACCGTCTGTTAGTCAATCTAAGCTTTTCTTTTTTTTGTAATGGCAGCTGCTTGCAAAATACATGAATTTTTTTAGCTCTGATGCTCCTACCACCACTAATCCCAAATGTGAAAGTAGTATGTGCTTAGCAGCTCAGTCATGTCCGACTCTTTGTAACCCCATGGACTGCAGTCCGCCAGGATTCTCTGTCCATGGGAATTCTCCAGGCAAGAATACTGAAGTGGGTTGAAATCAACTGCCAAAATAAAGTTCTGTTTCCTAAGTACAAACATCCCATTTAACCTAGCTTCTACTTAGACCCAATCTAATCCATTTAATGGGCTTCCCAGGTGGCTCAGTGGCAAAGAACCCGCCTGCCAAGCAGGAAATATGGGTTTGATTCCTGGGTCAGGAAGATCCCCTAGAGAAGGAAATGGCAACCCACCCCAGTATTCGTGTCTGGGAAACCCCATGGACAGAGGAGCCTGGCGGGTCCATAGGGTCACAAAGAATCAGGCACGACTGAGCGACTAAACAACAAAAGCAATCTATTTAACAGAGTATAGGAATACAAAATGATGCAGCTGCTTAGGAAAACAGTTTGGCAGTTTGCAAAAAATAAAACATAAGGAATATATGACCTGTTATTACTCACCTAGGAATCTACCCAAGAGAAATAAAAACACATATCCACATAAAAAATTTTATACAAAGGTTCCCTGAATCATTGTAATAATAGCCCAAATGTGGGAAACAACCCAAATGTCCATAAGATGATTGAACAAAATATGGTATATACATACAATGGAGAGAGGAATAAGGAGTGACTGCTAATGGATAAGGGTTTCTTGTGGGGTGGGGGAGAGCAATGAAATTGCATAGTAGAGGCAAAATTGTGTGAATATGCTAAAAAAAATTCAATTACACACTTTTAAAACATGAATTTTATAGTATGAGAATTACATGTCCAAAAAATTCAAAAAAAGAATATGTAAGAAAACTTTATTATACAAACCCAAAAGTCTTCTAGCAGAAACAACTAATACAGCTATGAGTTCACATCCCTGGAGAAGGTTTTAAAAAGAAAATTTCCAGGCCTTACCCAGACTCATGGAATCAAAATATCTAGTGAAAGGTCTAGAAATCTGTAATTTTTAAAAAATCTGTATTCTTAACAAGTACTTTGAATGAGCTGACACAACTAATCTAGAGAAGGACTTTTGGGAGGAATTTATTTTGTCCAATTAGTAAAAGCTCTGAAATTCTAAAAAGACCCTTACCTTACAAGAGAACCAGAGCTCCAAAGAAAAAGAAAGAAATTCCTTTTTATCATGGATTGAGAAACAAGGAGGCTTGCGCAACAGAGAAGGCCTTCAAAAGTACTAGAGACAGGGCAAAATCTGTTCAGTTTTGAAATGTAAATTGTGACATAAATGTGGCTTATCTGATTGATAGTCTTTACAGGTAAGATTTAAGCCAAAGGTTTAATCTGAGTCCTAGAGTAATAAAGTTTGTGAAAAAAGAATAGTACACTTGAACTTTCATAAGGCAAATAATAATGTGTATTTTAAGTTGAATATCATAAATGAAATAATATAAACTATACAAAAGTAATACACAGAAATAGTAATGTCAGAAATAACAAAATGAAAGCTATAATTTGAAAAGTCATTTTTTAAAATTAAGCTTTGATTTCAAAATGTCACATTCATAAAAACAATAAAGGTAAGCATTCCTACCTTGCAAATATGAGTCATCAAATTTCTGAGCGGATACTTTTTGGGGAAGCTTGATTCCAGCTCCCCAAGCGATAAAAGGAGTACAAGTCTCTAAAGGATGACCAGCTCCATGGGAGCCTACAAATAAGGCACAAAGAGCAACGTGAGTATATAAAGATGAACCTATACCTGATTAACCTATACCTAAATATTTTTTAATACTTAGTTCTAAAGAGTTGACCCATAAAGAGCTAATTTCTGCCACCACACTCCCAAAAGATTGCATCTCTATTTATCAATTCGTTTTAAAATATTCTCAAGGCAAGTCAGAGCATCAACAACAAACAGGCAAAAAGAAAAACCAGAACACCCGTGGAGTGACTCTGGTTGAAAGAAGATTAAGAATCATAACGACTAAGGCTTGGAGGAGATGCCACCAGAGTGGCACTGAAGGCAGAAACCACAGGGAAGGCTCCTCTGGGGAGTAACCGCCAGGTTTGGGGTGGGCAGTCAAGGCCAGCTCTGCTCTGAAGAGGATAGCAGGGTCTCGGTCTGCTTTTCTTCCCGGCCACTCTGGCTGGTGTAGCCAAAACCCCATTATAAAGTGGGACCCACTCATCAGAATTCTACACTGTGATCCAGGGACCCAAGTCTCAACTTTGCCTTGGTTTGCTCTCTGGGCACACACTGTGTCTGCCTTGGGAGTCTGGCAGAGTGGACAGTCTCCTCTAGTGGACAAGGTCAGTAGCCCGAGGTCCCGCAGCAACACCACCTTAAACTCACGCACTATGCCATCACATACTTATAGGTAGATAAATGTGGGTTTGGGGAGTTCTTCTGTGTGTGTGTGTGTGTGTGTGTGTGTGTGTGGGTGTGCACACATGCACACACTCAGCTGTGTCTGACTCTGCAACCCTGTGGACTATAGCCCTCCAGACTCTGTCCATGGAACTTTTCCGGCAAGTACACTGGAGTGGGTTGCCATTTCCTACTCCAGGGGATCTTCCCAACCCAGGGACCGAACCCGTGTCTCCTGTCTCCTGCACTGGCAGGCGGATTCTTTATCAACTGTGCCACCTGGGAAGTCAAATGAGAATATATTCCTTTCATAGTTAGAAGAAAGATTATATAAGATCAGTCTTTTTTATGCTAACATTTTATGCATACTATTATGTGCTAGACACTTTGCATATACTAAGACATCTAATCCTCTTCAATACCCTAAAATATTTGCAAGCTATATTTACCACTACTTTAATCATAAAGTATGTATCACTTAGAGACAGACTAACCCCAGTCTGTCATTCCATGGTCAGCAGTGAAGATAAATGCTGTTTTCCCATCATTTCCATAAAAATCTTTAACAGTAGACTCAATTACTTTCAATTCCTTATCAACTAATTTAATATTGTCTGAATACTCCCTGTTTAAGAAGAGCAAATTAAATTATATTAATTACATTAATTTGACAAAATCCAATTTATTCGACACAAATTTATGGTAAAGTCAGTAACACCTAAAATACTTTTAGATTTCAACCTTAATGTTTTTCAATCAGAGCTCTGTAGATGGTTAAAAAAAATTTTTTCCTCTCTTAAAGAAGTAAAACAATCTGAAATCATTTTCAAAAATATTTTTTTTAAAAGTATTGATTAGCAAATAGATTTTCATGAATACTTTTTAAGTCTCAAATGCAACAATAATGACTTTTAAATTCATGTCTCTAATAATGTAAACTATGTAGCTCTTGCCACATTTATCAAACAAGTATCACTGTTTCAACTATAGAATATTTTCATTCTTTAGTGTGTTTGTGATATGATATAATACATTTTGAACAAACTATATTTAAGCTTTCCATACAACTGAACAAGGGAGTGATTTAGTATAAGTTTTATTACTTAAGACAATGCATTGTGTTAAAGAAGAGAAGCATGAGGTATTACTGGACGTTAGTAGACTTTACTGTTAGACTAATCTAAATCTAATCCAAAATGAAAAATAAAAGTATAATATGAATTCTTCCTATCTTATGCTTTGCAAAAGTGAGAAAAACAGTTGCTGCTTTATATAAGGAGTGCTACTGAAATATAGAATACAAAACTTTATATATTATCTGCTAGATATAGCACTGATTAAATGGAACGTAAGGAACAGCTAGTTACATCTTTTTGTGATATAAATACTAGCACAATAAAAATGCTTTTTGTTTCAAAACTTATTAAAATCCTTCTAAAACATAATCTTTTTCTCTCTGCTTTGATAAATGAATATATGGAATACACGTACAGAACATATTTTACTTATATTAATGTGTAGTGTGGTCACAGCACATGTGATTTTAGCCACAATATCATACTACATATCATGTAAATTAGAATGTATTCTACTTCAGAGTTATTCAAAAGATAAGTTCTGTTGTGATCATAACAAAGAAAACATTATAGTACTTTAAAAGTTCAAACAGAATAGGTATTTCCCTCAAAACCATGAAATTAAACACAGCGCTAAAATTACCTTGATGATGGTCGATCTGTCTATTCCTAATAAATGTAAGAAGAAAACTATTTTGTCTTCATTTACTTTAGAAAACAAAGATTGGTTGTTTCTGGCAGCATGAAAGAATTCCTATATGTAACAAATCAGTTAAAAATTTTTAGTTCATTAATTTTATTTAAAAAGTACTTCCAATGAAAACATTTAATTAAACTTATACAGAACTAACAAATTAAATTGTCCTATTTTGTTTAAATTTGTCCTCAGGACCTACCAACACAAAGTACTTGTCAGTTCAGGCATCTATATTCAAAAAACAAGTGAGATATTTTCCGTGTTATAATTAGGCTGAAAAAAGATGATAGAAAGGGGATCTCAATTTCATGAAGTTCTAATAATACTGGAGAACTATTTTGACATGAGCCAACAATAAAATAGCACTAATGGCAACAATTTAGGAACGCTTTATGAGTTTAAAATGTTTTCCTGCTTCTTGTCCCGTGTTAGCACCCAAGTTCAACCATAATCTCTCACTCGGAACATTGCAAATAGCCTATTTCTACCATCCCAAGACTAAAATCTGTGCTTCAAAAGGTATGATAGAAAAATGTCCACATAACAAAAGGAAATACAGATGAAAAATGATTAATTTCACAATGATAAGCTGGAATCATAAAGCCCTCTAAGAAAAGGATTCATCCTGTACTTACATACACATGAACATATAAGCAAGTACCTATGGAAAGTACTTTTAAGTCACCTGATTACCAAGATATATAATTATTATTCACATAAATGTCTTTAACTATATAAGATGTTAATTTTAACAAGGTATTTAACTTTCCAATAAAAGTCTGAAGTACTCCTTCAACTTACCCTTCATTATTACAAACATTAAAAACATATACATGGTGCCATTAGAGAAACTACCTATTTCCAAATAGAAGGAAAAAAAAGGAATACAAATGAAATTAAACATAAATAAATATAAATTAATATAAATATACATAATCATCCTTAAAAGCATAAAATGACACCCTAGCTTTCACATACATTCTAATTAGCCCCTAAGAAACTTTAAATCTAGATAGAAATGGGAAGTTTTTCAAGAGAAAGGACTTATATTCTAAAGATGTAACTGAGAAGCTGACAAGAAACAAAAAAACTTAGCAATTGAGTGGAGTCAAATTTACAATCTGTTTCATGACTGATATTATTCAGCTTGTAAAAACTGCTGTTCATTCGAACGTGGACACAAGATCTGAGAAACCATGAAACACTAATCTTGCAGAGCTCAACCTGATAGATTCCCATTGCCTTTTAAAAAGTTGGTCTTTTGCACACAAGAGTGAAACACACTCCTAGCTTCCTCTCCACTCCCAATATTTAGTATAATTATGCCCACCAACTCCCATTTTTTTTTCTTAGCTCAAAGGCACTCATTCCTTTTCGTACTTAAATATTTACTATGCATTGTGGGAGAGTGCATGCATTCTCCCTTTTTCTCTAAGTAAAACTTCTGATTTTATGGGAACATGTCAGTGCTTCAAACTTAAAACCTACATATTTCTTACTCTCTCCCACAGCTACCTGTCTGTGCCTTTTTGGTTATGGCTAATGAGACAGAAATCAAACACTTCAGTCAAAAGACGATGTGCCTTTTGAAATAAATTTAACTATTTATTAAAATTTTTTGAAATAAATTTAATTTAGTAGAAGAGAAGGTCCCTTTCAATTCCTTGTATTGTTGACCTAAAACACTGAAATAATGGTTGGAACACCAGCATCTCCCGTCATAAGACAACTCAGAAGCTAAGGCCACGCTCTGAGGACAGAAGAGACACTTAAGAGACCGGATCTTAATGACACCGGGGAACCACCATGGCAATCTTGGACTACATCAATCCTGGGCTACCTACTTCTGGCATTATCGTTCATTGAGAGACAAACAAACTTTAAAGCAATATTTTTACTCTATTACAGAGTTCCTTTGGAGCCCAAGTTATCATTATGCTGTTGGTCTGAGATACTCTTCTCTATATGCAATCTAGGTCCAACCATTTCTTTGTTTCCTAGGCTTCCCCAGAGATTATCTCAAAACTCACAGGAAAGTCTTCCTCTAACTGTTCAGCTTAAATTGAACTTTTCTAAAGATATATTCTTAGTCCCTATATTTTTCCTTCCCACCACTCTTTATTTTGTTGTTACTTGATTAATGTACATACTCTATCATATCTTATGAAATTATAGGGAAATTTTTTTTTCTGGTCAATAGCAGTGTTGAAATAAGGTAAAAAAAGCATAGAATAAAGCCAGCCACTAACTATATCTGCTTATCCACAATGAATCAAATCCACGATGTTGAACATTTTTAGCTATGTTTATGAAGTTTGAAGCCAAGGGCCTTGAAACAAATACTAACATAAGTTGATTATATTAAGAAGTGATACTTAGCAAAATCATTTGCTACTTTTGTAAAGAGATTTTATTTAACTTGAAGATTTTCACTTTCATTTTGAGTAAGAAAAGAAAATCTTAAGGAA